GCGTTGTGTGTCCCTCTCTCTGACATGTTGTGTGTCCCTCTCTCTGACGCGTTGTGTTGTTCTCTCAGTGCTGAACCAGCTGGAGGAACTTCTGAGCGACATGAAAGCAGATGTGACACGACTGCCCAACATGCTGTCCAGGATCCCACCGGTGTCGGCGCGCCTGCAGATGTCCGAGAGGAGCATCCTGAGCCGCCTCACCAGCCGAGGCAGCGAGCCTCCGCCGCAGCAGGTGAGATGAGGCATTGGTGGTCAGGGAGGGTCACGTGACTGTAAAGAACCAATCGTAAGTCATCTGTGGAGTCAAGTAGGAGCCACTCTTCCCTCTCAAGCTGCAGTTGGTATGATTTGAAAAACAGAGGTGAGATAGAGCCGCAAGATCTTGTCCCTCGCCGACAGACATTCACATGTAGAACCTGTTTATAGAGATTATAAGTAACCAGAGAAAACTACATGGACGTCTGGTTATTTCACATGTTCAGCAACTTTGCAAACATTGCAGTTGCTGAACATGTAACAAGTATAATTGAAAACAAGCTAATGTTGCCTGTATCATCAGGAAATCTGCTGCCGGTCGGGGTAATCACTGTAAAGCTTGTGGCTAACTCTTGCTATGTAGTAAACAACAATAGCAACACTTACATACGGGCCAGAGGAGCCTCTGGGTAATTTAGTTTTCATAGTAACACAGTTTCTGCAAATTACGACAAAAACGTCAGTTTTGTAAATGTTCCCCTCCGCACCTTTAATGGTTTGTACTTGCTGAGGAAACTGAAAGTGTGTGAAAGAACTTGGTTAAATTAAATGGCTACGGTCTGAAAACCTTGAAGTGTTTCTGTAGTCACGACTCAGCACCCACATTATTCCTTCAGAGGGAACCTGTGGAGACTCACCATCCCCCATGGAAAACCATCCCCAGGTGCAAAGTCAAGAAAAGTAGTTGTTTACTTCCACCACATTTCTGTCCCAGAGGATTTTACAGAGACTCTTCTGTCTCATTACTTTCACGTCTCCTGCACCTGTTCTCCAGAACAGTGCTTTGTTTTCACTTATACAACAGGTTATATATTCATCATGTGTCCTGACTGTGCTTCTTTGGTTGCTATGCTCAGCTCTTGTCGTAACCAGGGAAACGGTTGCTGATCCCACTCGGTGTCCTTGGTTTTCTTCTCCAGGGAGTAAATGTATCTGAAAGAGCGACTCAGACAATATTTAGAAGTACTACTACCTGCCGGATACCTGTTTGTATGATCATCGTATCTTGTGAAGCTCACAGGATAACTTCATGTATGCTCCTCAGCCTTTCAGCCAGGGTGCGTTCGGCTGCTCTCAGATGTACGGCAGCAGCTTCGGCGGCGGCTTCCGAGGCCCGGGTGGACAGCCCCTGGTGAACTACAGTCAGATGCCTCTGGGACCCTACGTCAGCGGTAAGGATCAACATCTGCAGTGGATAACAGGTGACTTGAAACAAGTGGGAGAGGGAGGAAGTTCTGATATTTAACTGTAATTTAGTTTGTCAATGGTGTGCCAGTTTATGTTGAGGAACGTATCCCTGTTTACTTATTGAGATGGTTGCTTAATTGGATCAATGTGAAGTACAGTAGAAATGAAATGCAATATATACAATAACTCAGAAAGGCATGGACAGATCTCTTGGTGGGATTAATACCTGGGCATGATTCTCCAGATAATTAACTTTTAGAGCTGACTGGTCAAAGGTTAAGTCCAAGGTCAACTGAAATATGGTAAAAAAAAAAAAATTATCCAAGAGATCTGTGTGAATA